GTCGCCTACCGCAGCGCGCCTTGTTTTCAGTGGCTGTTACAGTCTGGAGAAAGCCCCGTGGAGGCCAGCACATGACGTGGAGACGAGGCATAAAAAAATGCACAGAGCGATTAGGAAGGTCAGTTGTCTCTCGTCTTCCGGGCTGGGGTCCAAAAGGCTCCGAAACCGCATGGTGGGAGACACTAAAGGTCATGGCTGCGAACCGACAGCAATGGCAATCATGCTGTCACTTCTTATCAGACCAAAATGCTTGAAGTGGTATATATGCACAGTTGAACTGTGTACTTTGTGTGTTGACCGTAGAGGTTCGCTTTCTTTTCCCGTCCCTGAAAATAGGCCCAATCCCTGTCNTGCATTATGAGTTTGGCAGCGATCAGTGAAGTTCGCTTCACTGTATTACGCTGTAAAATGATGAGGATGATGATGATGTTACCGAAACTACTGGGTTCAGTGTGGGAGAGGGACGATTTTCCAACGGAATGATGTAAATCGGTGATCATACCGATTTACATGAAAGGCGTCAAATTCTCTTGTGAAAACCATTGAAGAATTATTTTAATTAACATCGTCTCTAAACTTCTCACTGCTTGTATACTCCGTCGGTTGTCTGCCGCACGTAAACAGTGAACTCGTAAGAAACGGGTTGGTTTTTAGACCTGGTCGACGTTTTGGGGACCACATCTTCACTCTTGGTCAAATTATAGAACACGCGCCAATTTTGTAGACCCACCATTTCCATCTGAAGGTGGCTTTCGACTCAGTCGACAGCTCTAAATTCTGGCACTGCTTCCCTTCGAAGAGTGTGCCCGAGAAGTTTATTTCAATATTACAAGTTCGTTATACTAATCGAAGAAGCCGAGTCCGAGATTACGGCACTTTTTCACCCGAGTTCAGTACAGGAAATTAGTCATAGATTTAGCTTTTGAAACAGCCATATCCTCGTGCGAGGACAGTGCCATCGATTTACTCTCGGGTATCAGACTGTCTGATGTAGAGTATGCAGATGACATTGTACTACTAAGTGAAGATCCAGGTAAACTACAAGCCTTTCCGGATAGTTTGCGTGCTGGTGTAGCCATGTTCGGTATGCGTTTTGCACCTTCAAAGTCATCATCATCATCATCATCATCGTACAGCGAGATACAGTGAAGCGAGCTTCACTGATCGCTGCCTGTAGAGGAAGTAAACAAATTTTGCTATCTGGGCAGCTATATCTCATCTGGTGGGCGCATCACAGATGAAGTGTCGGCGCGCATACAAAAGGCTCCGTTGGCATTTGCCAACTTGAGGCATTTTTGGTTCCGTCGCGACATCCGGCTGTTTGTGAAGGGTCGAGTATATGCTGCAGCAGTTCGACCAGTACAGCTGTACGCTGCAGACTTGGCTATTACGGGAACAGGACAAAAATGGATTGTCAGTGTTTGAACACCGCTGTCTACGTCGCATTGCACGCGTCTGGTGGGGAAACCGGACGAGCACTGCTGAGGTTAGGTGTAGAGTTTTAAGTAACGGCAGTCGTCCACTGGAGTTAATAGTTGACCTCCATCGATTACACTGGCTGGGACATATGTTGCGCATGTCACCAAATAGTTGCCTCGGCGCGCGATGGTTGCCGAGGCAGGTAGCGTATTGAGAAAGGTCAAGGGTGGTGAAACTAAGACCTGGTATGAGGCTA